AAGGGACAATGTGAACATCAAAGCCCTACTCAGACATGCCCGGACACTTGCTTTGCAGACTGTAGTTTTGTTTAATTTAACATATCACAGAACCGCAGGATGTTTAAGATTGGAAGGGACCTCTAGAGATCATCTAGTCCAACCTTCCCGCTCCAGCAGGCACACCCAGAGCACGGGGCACAGGGCGGCATCCAGGTGGGTTTTGAAGACCTCCAGAGAAGGAGACTCCACAACCCTCCTGGGCAGCCTGGGCCAGGGCTCTGGCACCCTCACGGTCAAGAAGTTCCTCCTCACCTGGAGACGGAACTGCCTGTGTTGCAGTTTGCACCCATTTCCCCTTGTCCTGTCACTGGCCACCAAGGAGAAGAGCTTGGCCCCTTCCTCCCTACATTCCCCCTTCATGAACTTATACATATCAATCAGATCCCCTCTCAGCCTTCTCTTCTCCAAGCTGAACAGGCCCAGCTCACTCAGTCTCTCCTCATACGGGAGATGTTCCAGTCCCTTAAGCATCTTTGTCTCTCTCCGCTGGACCTTCTCTAGGAGCTCCATGTCCCTCTTGTACTGGGGAGCCCAGAACTGCCCACAATACTCCAGGTGAGGCCTCACCAGCACTGAGTATCCTCTTGATAAATCTGCCACTGTAAAGCACTGCCTTTCAGGACAGTAAAACACAGAGCAAAGCAACCAGCAGCAGCAGCAGCTGGCAGAAAAGGGGCCTTTGCCCACTCCTACCCAAGGCACCTCCAACAGCAGCACTGCCCTAGGGGACAGCAAGGCTTCTCCCATGTTGTTTGGACATAAAAACGTCCAGCTTTCTGCCAAGTCACACAAATGGAAAGCAGAAATCGTTTAGGTTTTCAGACAGCACTCAGATCTTGGGAAGAAGTCAGAGTGTAACCTGCAAGACCTCGACACAAGGTCAGAACTCCTCAGACAAAACCCAGCAGATGTACATGAAGATTAGGGAAACCTTCAAATACCAAGTTTAACAGTCACCACTGTGTTACACAACTAACAGCTGGACAGCTGCTTTGGGGCCGCCAATCATTCACATCCATTCCAGTACTACCTGACGAACACTATTTTCCCCTTATGTGATGGAAAGTCCACAAATCTAACTTTTATTTCTAATATCTAGCAAAAATCAAGACCGCACATCTACTTTTCTAGGAATTTAAGTTTCTGACTTTATCAAATACTTTCCATCCAGATCTAACAAGTTAGGGATGGTTGATATAATATGGAAGGGAGGAAAAAGGCTGCTCAGCTAAAGTATCATTTTAAGGTCACAAAGAAAAATTGCATTTATCTTGGTAATTTAATCTGAGTATCTCCAAGGATGGAGACCTATCTGTTCCTCCTTTATATGTGGCCACCCTCAGGTGGAAGTTTTTCTACTATTTAACTGGAATTTCCTTTTTCTGCTTGTGCTCATTGCCTCGTGCACCATCAGGTGCGCAGCTGAGAAGAGTCCATCTCCATCTTCTCTCTCCACCCCATTACGGAGTCGCAGACCTCCCTCATCCTCAGTTAGAGGACTAGACTCGCCTCAGCAAGGTCTGCCCTCGGCCTCTGAGCTGTGTGGTGCTCAGCACAGTATGTTGTTCAAGAGAGGGAGAAATCTAGGCATCAGTTGATCCTCTCAGATCTATGTGTGTGATCACCATGAAAGGAAATCTTCGTTTTTTAGCTCTCTGCAAAGAGCCTTTACCTGCTAAGTGATATTTCGTTCAGTGCTCTGGACACAGAAGACTTAGGCAGCAAAGCTCCTCAGACTTACAATTCCCACCATGGGCTTCAGTGACTCAAATGCAGTTGTCACCCAGCACACTGTCCTCTGGACCACTGAAAGCTAAAGTAGATTTTTTACATCCAGTCCTGCACATCTCTTCTGTCAATGGAAAGAGGGACGAGGCAACCTCACCCAGACCGGGCTACGAGGGGAGAAAAACTTGTCCTACCTGTAGAGCAAACTCGGTATCTCGGCGAGGTATTTTATGAGGAGGCATGCTAAGGAGGAAGGGGGTGGAAGCAGTACCGTGCATCATCTCCAAAAACCACACACCCGCTTGGACATACCAGGAACTGAACAAATTACTGTTTTACTTGATAAAGACACTATAGCAAAACGTTTAGGGAGCTATTGGTTGCTATACAGAAAACCGAGCTGGCAGGAACAACCTTGTGCTGGCAGTGATCGATCCAGGCTCGTCCTGCTGGCCAGGACAGACAGGCTGAAGCTCCCCATGCAGCTGATGGGGTCGCTCTGTGCCAAGACAAATCCTTTTCAGAAGAGTGGATGCGCTCTCGTATTAAACGACAGAGATGCATTTCTTTAAGACACACACAAAACCCCTTATTCCCCATCTTTAAAGGAAAGAAGTAAATTCTCACATTCAATACTTCTTGCCGTAGAGTGGCTGGCTCCACGCAGCTGATGAGACGAAGCAGGAGGTCCATCATCGCTGACGTATCTATATGCTTTAGCACCAGGCTAATAAACTTGTCTTTTTTCCTTAAAAAGGCAATCACCTAAACATAAAAACATCATTATCAGTTACTGATACAATATAGGGACATGAGAGCACAGAACTTTCTACACTTCATGTTCTTGTTCTAACCAACAAATCTTTATGCAAAATGGCTCCTAGGTGGATGAATTCTTCTTCAGAGAACAAAAAGAAAGGAAAACCATTCTCATTTCAAAAAAAAAAAAAAAAAAAAAAAAAACTAAACCAAATCTTTTTAGCTATCTTTTCTTTCCTCTGTGCCAGAAAGAAAGTAAGCCCACAGGAACAAGAATATCAAAGACAGTAATGAAGCAGAATAAATTTTCTTTCCACCAAGGCTCTCTGATAAACCTTTTACATGCTTCAATTTAAAAATTAAGTTTATATTGGGATGCATGTATTCCTAGAAGACTATACAGTAAATGTTTCCAACTTCCCTGTTATAGGCAAGAGACTGAGACATTACCTATGTAACAAGAAGCTTCGGGGCAATGACCAAAGGATGTTATCAATATGCACTAATACAAATAATAAATAATTAGCAGAGGAATATCCCAACCTATTACAGATCTGAAACAAATCCATGCAGATTGGCAGCACAGATTTGTTTCAGAACATGAATGTTTCAGCATAGAATCTATGCAGCAATTCACTCCAACCTGTGAGTCTGAAGAGCTTTGCAAAGCCAACACTTCCCTCCCACCCCAAGAGCAATTTTTTGATTCTTACAGTTTCAAACCTAACGAGATCATCACCGATATTGCAACACAGCACCAACAGTATTAATGGATCCATTTGTGCCAGCGCAAACGGTCCCACGAACCTGCTCGGTTTTCCTGGCAATGAGATTCCCGATGGTCTTGCTGAAGAAGCTGGCAAGCAGCGGGTTCAGCGGCGGCTCGTGATCCAGGAAGTCGTAGAGGATGTTGAGCAAAGTTTCATCGCCGCCCAGCTTGTCGTTGATCTGCGGCACGTCGGAGGTCAGCAGCTCGCAGGCCGTGTTCGGGTACCTGCAAGGAGCAGCCAGAGCAGAGCACGGGGAAAGGGGAGCTCGCAGGGACACCTGCGCTTAACGAAGGAGATAAAACCAAGAGGAGGATCATCTGGAGAGAAGGGAAGAAACCCAGCAGGAACAAGGCTCAGCTACCCGCAAGGCACATTTTAAGGAAGTGCTACACCCTGTGGCACATCGTGGGTTTGTTTTTTAAGCACTGGAATACACATTTAGGCTGCCTTCACACTACAGCTCATTCTGACTTTTCAAAAAAGTCATTTTCTAAAAAAAAACTTAACCAGTTTCAATATCCCCAAAAAGGTCTTCAAAAATTTTACTTGTAAAACTAAAATTAATACAAAACAGTTGAGCAACGCCTATTTTTTCAGTTTTCTGAAAAATTCTCCCCAGCACTGATGCAGAAATAAAAAGAAGCCATCACATACCGCACAAGGAGAGGAGAAGCCAGGCAGAGCACCAGCCTCACGCAGGACTCCAGCACGTCCAGGCTGTGCCCACGCAAACCGCTCGCAGCCCGCAGCCTCTCTGAGGCTCGGCCTCTCTCTGATGCCCACAGCTATCAGCAAAATTGACTTTTTTGTTTTTTTCCTAGAAATTATTATCGACTCTCGTTTGGATATTTTGTTCCCTGAAACCAGAACATGCAATGAAACTTGGCAGCTGAGTAGGTCTCTGTTTTGTGGTGTTGTTTCTTGCTCTCCCATGTGCTGCTTTTAGAAACAGGCCCCACTCCTGATCAGCAAAGCGAGAATCACACGTTTATGGTTAAGAGCGCATTTATGGTTAAGAGCATGTTCATAATAAGACCCAGTCTCCAGTAGGCGCGTGGGCCACCGCCATGGGAAGGGGGCACGGAGGGAGCCCCTCGCCCCATCCCCAAGCCCCATCCCCTCGGTGGGGAGCGCACGGGGAAGCACAGCACAGCTCCGGCCATGGGGACCTGCGGAAACCCTCCCCACAGAGGTTCAGCGTTAAATGAGCGGCTTTGTTAAGGTCCCAGCCCAAGGCAGGGCTATGGAGCCCCACGGCCCCAGGACGAGGCCCCTCGGAGGTCCGTGGCATGAGGAACGTCGCCGGTGGGTGCAGGAAGCTGCCCCCGGCGCTCAGCTGTAACACCATTTTCACTGCGGGATATGCATCACCCTCCAGCCAAAGACAGCTGGGGGGGTATTTTTAAACCCGACCTCGCTCCTACCATCAAGGGTGCAAGGGGGCCATGGTGGGCCGTTCCGAGCGCGCTGACGAGGAGCCGGGCGCCCCGCATGCCCGCGTCCCCCGGGCAGTCACCGGGACGCACGGCAGCAAAACAAGGCTCCCTGTCGGGAGCGAGTCCCCTCTGCCCCGTGAGCCGCGCTAGTTGGTGTTGCTCTCTCCAAAACACAAACCAAACGGGCCTCAGATTTTAGAGGAAAGTTAGTGGTTAAGTTAAAATTAAGCGGGTACAAGCCGGCTCCAAAGCCAAGCCAGGCCTGTGTGTACTGCATATATACAGGAACATAATGGCTCCTGCAAGGCAAGGGGGGCACTTGGGCAGAACGGCCCGGCTGGAACCGTCTCTCAACACACGGCAAATAGGAAAAATAGGATATAGGATAGAGCAACAGAGCGCGAGTCATGGCAATGGCGACGTGCACCTCTGCCCACAGCGGGACCCAATAAATAAATAAGTAAAGCTTCTCATCTCAAACCCTTATTCTTCATCACTCTTCATCACTCTGCATGCTTCTTGACAAGGAAAATATTATTCCCATCTTATTTAAGGTACGGATGCACCAAACAGCACAGGCCTCAGAGGAGCTGGTGCAGAGCCAGAAAGCTGGAACTGGACATCTTCCCCTTGCCTTTATTTCTACTTACACAATTATTAGCTGAGGAGCAAACCCATTCTCATGCCATGGCAGCCCACTACGAGGGGTCTTTGACACAAGACCTTTTCAAGAGCTGTTCAGGAATGTCCTCGCGCTTCATTAGGGGTGTCACCATTACCCACATGTTCACCGACTCCATGGAACAGCCCATGAAGACCCTGGAAGCTTCACTCCCCTCCACAAACGCTGTACTTGGCAACGGCAAAGAGCCCACATTTAGCAATGTGTCCGTGAATCACATTTTTATGTCAAAAAGCTGCCAGTTCGCACACTCCAGCAGTCAGGTGTAATGGTCCACAGGTCCTTGGATCACCCCTGGTCCCTCCTTAAGAGCTGCTCCCAGACCTGCTGCTGCCCTTCCCTGCTAATGTGGCCGATGAGCGTTTGGAAACGTTATCAAACCCAGCTGAGCAACTTGGTGCTCAAAGTCCTTTAAATCACTTATCCAACACCAGGCAGGTCTGGCAACTGTTCCATGGAGGCTTTTCCAAAGGTCCATCCACAAACGGCTGGAGACAGTTCCTGAGGCTACCCCCTTGCACAGAAAGCCTCCATTTGGGAATCTCCCACAAATCTATTTCCCTTGGCACTTGGATGGTCTGTCCGCTCTCCGTGTCTGACAGGCTTCCACATTTGGATGCATTTAGAATATTATCTCCTTGTCCAGTCCTATGGATTTACTCCCAACCTGCCACATCATCCTTTCTCCTCACCTGAACACAATTCCACTTTTACTAGCAACTGCCTATTTGTTTCTAACAAAGCCAAGTTCTCTACTTTACAGTATTTTCCAAACTTTTTAGTATTGCTCTGCATTTACCACGACCCACTAAAATGTTTCCAGGCCAACTGCGGGCTTTTTCTATCCTGTTACAATACCGTTTTCCTCTTAAATAACCTCATATTTATGTAGTTCTGTATCTTGAAGTTAGAAAACAAACACACAGCAAACATCCCCATGATAATTTCTGCTATTAGCAGAATGCTCCCATGCTATTTCTGCCCTTCTTCCTCTTGCAAGGATGTTAAACTTGAGCACCCTATGCTCACTCTCACAAGGCCATTGCACAAGCTCCTTTTCCCACGATGGAAGCATTATCATTCCTCTCCCACCTGTCTCAATGCTCTGTGTAAAACCTATTTGTGAGCGGCTGCCCTGTGTCCGCTGCGGTGCCGACCCTGTCTGCAGCAGGCTGAGGGAATCACTGAACCCCGAAGGGTGGCAGGGACCCCCAGGGCTCCCCCAGTGCAGCCCCTGCTCCCGCAGGGACACCCAGAGCACGGGGCACCCGGGCGCATCCCGGCGCGCTGGCAGACCTGCAGAGCAGGAGCCTCCGCAGCCTCCCTGGGCAGCCCGTTCCAGCACTCGGGCACCCTCCCTGTCCAGATATTTTTCCTTAAGTTCCTGGGGATTTTTTTGGGCTTCAGTTTGGGGCCGTTTCCTCCAGTTCTGTCAGTGGCCACCACTGCAAAGAGGCCACCCCGCTCCTCCTCACTGCCTCCCTTGAGGTGTCCACGGACACTGCTCAGGACCCCCCCAGCCTTCCCTTCTCCAGGCTGAACAGGTCCAGCTCTCCCAGGCTTAATGGGGGACACTGTCCCATCAGCACAATGATAAGCGGACATTGCACCATCCCATCAGGCTTCTGCGTCCGCAGGTTTCATTAAAACCAGGCATTACAGTAAAACTAGTTTTTATAACTCTTTAGTTGCTACATGGCCTGGTCTGGTTGTGCTGAGTTTTACCTGTCGACATAGATGGGATTTACTGCAGCCCTCTCCTCCTCACAGGTCCCTTTCTGAAGTCTATGAGCTTCTGTCCTATCGGAATTTCAGGACTAAAGCAGGCAGCATCCAGAGCTGCATGTTCCTCCTACCTGTCGAGTGGCTCCCATGCACCAGTTTAAAACCTCTTACAATCTTTTTCAATCTTGAGAGGTCCCGTCTTAAGAGGTTCAGTCTTAAGAGGTCTTGGATTTCTATTACATTTAGGCAGAGCCCATTCTTCATCTTCAAATTTCATTTCAAAAGCTTCCCAGATTCTTCAAAGCTTAAATCCCTCTTCCCTTTTGCATGGTCTCACCATGCTTTGAAATCGCTTCTCTGCTCAGTCTGGAGCATTTCCAGAAAGATCCTTTCCAAGATTAGCTCTGCTCGTCCCTGCAAACACGGCACCATGTGGTTCTCACTGCCACCAAAGACTCACTCATCTCTGTGTTCTCCTCCCGAGCCTCCCTCTGCTCCTTGCTCTGCATTAAGGCTTTTTGTTTCTTGAGAAATTTCATTTCTACTCCCTCCCATCTTTCTTTATCCTTAATCTATGTGCTTAGATCAGCAGGTTTCCACCTCGACCTTGCAGCACACAGCACCAGAGGTAGGAAGCGACCTGCGACATCAACCACGAAAACTCCAGTGAACAGGACTTAAAAACACAGTCTGGTTATCCAAGGAGGTGGACAACTCTGCAGCGACATGGATAAAATATGAATTTCATGTACTGAAATCATTCATTCTCTCCTGCAAGAAACGTGGACAGTCCAGATCACAGGTTGAATGATACGAGTATCATTCAACGCTCCCCCAGCTCATCACCCGGAGCTCCAAAGGGAAGAACTGTGCATCCTGCTCAGGAAGACAGTTTAGGCTTGAGCTTATTCCACCACATTAGCTGCAAAACCAACACGGATAAAGAGCTCCATTTAGGGATTTGCCAAATACTCCCACAAAAGCCAGATACTCATATAGGTACAGGAAAAAAGGTAAGAAGTCAGACAGCTGCCTGCAGGTCCCCTCTTTAAAATGCCTGGAAAATTTGCATTTGAAAGAGGGTAATAAAAAATAATACTCCTGGTTCCTTCTGATAATTTACCTTTTACAGCAATATAATATTCCAAGCTACTAGAGTGCGCTTCCTGGCATTCACTTACCTGGAAGTAGTCACCAAAACATACTGCCTAACAAACTGCCTATCTCATCTAGCAATAAAGCTAAACACAACTGCTCCTTCTTTCTAGCAAAACCTGCAATATCTGATACTACAGTTCCTACAGTTGAAACATACACATTTCACTTATTCATTTATATATAGAGTAATTGTGTTTTTTAAATAAGCTTAGCAAACTTCCCATTTTTTTAAAGTGTACACTTATTTAAAATGCATGAACACAATTTGATGCAAGCACTAAACATTTCAAGAGGCCACCGCCAGTTTTTGCAGATGTAGCACGCTGAAAATCCAACATCTCTTATTCACTGTACAACTGACTTTCTTTTATGACCTTGACTAGTGAAAAGTCATCAAGTTCAGAAACCCTGAACTCACAGAAAACCACTCTCTGTTATTTCCTGCAATTATGATATCAGAATAAAGCACTGAAGGTACTTTGATCTAATAAAGTTTTGAATAAACAGCAAGAGGTGATTTTTTTTTAGAGAGATTAGTTGAAAAAAACTGAAATCAAGAAACAAGTTTCTGAAAATTCATCCCAAATAACGAAAGAGTGTGCAATATTTCAGAGTGCTCAAAAGCCTTTTTGCACGACCTAGAGGCTCACGCGCAGAAGGTTGCCTGGACCTACTTGAACGCTACCTGCGGATCCTACTTGCGGATACCTACTTGAAGCGGACCTTCTCGTCCATGTCCACGGGGGGCTCATGTGTGATGAGGTTGACCAGCTCCTCCATGCAGTGCTGCTGGCAGAGGAAGTCCAGCAGCTTGCGGTTCTGCGCCTTGCACTCCTGTAGGATGTCATCTTCGTCCATCAGCTCGTGGAGCGTCACATCCTCTTTATCCAGCAGCTTGTCCACATGTGATGTTGTGTTCAGATCGAACTTCCAGAACATGGTGATGGGACACACCTAGCTGTAAAGCACAAGGCTCACGATTAATCCCTGCTCTCCCCAAGGCAATCCTCAGCTCGCGCCTCCTCCTTCGCACTGCACAACAGGAGCAGAATAAATTACAATACAACTGCTTGTCTGCATGAAGAAAACAGTTAAACTGCTGCAACAGAAACTTGTCATCAGAAAAGTAACAGGCTACAGCTGCCCTGCATTAACAGGGCAGAGGAAACATGCATGAGTTAAGCCCAACTGCAAGCGCCTTGGGAAGAAGGCTCCAGACCTGAAACCAAAAAGCACTTTCACACACACAAATGCTTTACCGGATTAGGGTCAAGGCAGTTCACAAACAGGGATAAATATATATATATATATATGTATTTACATGTACATATGCACAAATATATAATATGCTTTACTCTTGATCAACCTAAGGGGGGAATATTGAACAATCTCCACACATCCCCTTGAAAACCACGATGGTCGGGCACAATTTGTTGGGTGCTGTGGCTGGGACTAACAGGTGTTTCCCTGTAACAGAAGTGGCAAAAGACACTACAAATCCAAGCTAGAAATAGAAACTGAAATAACGGTCGCCTTTTCTTACACTTTTTGCATCTCAAGTCCTCACAAGCACTTGCTGAAAGCAGGACGCTCCACAATGAAGCAACTAAATATAAATGATTTTGATGCAGTTCTTTGCAGAAGTGAGAAAAGGGATACACTGCATATATGAAAAAAAGAAGAGACACTAATTAAGACTCCTGTGAGCTGGGCTTTAGTCCCGAAGACCTGAGCCCAGGAGCCCACACTGCCCCAGCTCTGCTTTGGTCCCCTCTAAGCCTGCTTGGAAGCGCTCGCAGGACAAGCCTGGTCTACATCAACACACAACTTCAGCATTTACAAAAGCCACCAACTCTGTCAAAACGGGACAATGTCCTGACCAATCCTCACAAAACTCTCCCTATGGTTTTCATCCCATTTCATATTTTCTCCTAAATTCCTTGTTTTAACACCTCACCATCAATCCATCAGCTAGACCCTTCCACAGTCTTAAGCTTAACTCTCACACCAAGTGATGCCCTCGAAGAAACAGGATTTACTGATGATTTTGTTGAAAGCATCAGAAAGAGCTCAGCCTAGTTCGGCCCAGCTTAGTCCCCATTTCCTTCTCCATCGCCCCACTGCCCTGCGGCCGCAGCGGCTGCAGCAGGAGCGGCCCCGGCAGCTGCTGGGGTGAACCCCGAAAGGATCCTGGGCATGCATGTACATGTCTAAGGACTCAAAAGAAAACCGTTTCTTTATCAAGTTAAGCCTACATTTTCTTCCTTGGAATAGGCCTATTTCCCCAGATATTCCATAGCAAGCTCTCCAAAGTGACCCTGAGAGCCACAGAATCTCATAGGAAAGCTTTCCGATTCCGAGGGCTTTGCTGGACTCCAAAGTCCCTTTTTTCCAAGCTCGCTCCTCACCTCGGAGTTTGGACAAAGGAGAGGGCTTCTCTGCAGACACGTCTTGGGGAGGCAGCGGCACCGGCGTGGCATTTTATTAAATACATATAAGCTTATAAAACCCATTGCAACTATCCCCTCTTCCCTTGTTCTCCTGCCCGGCTTTGCTTTCAGCCAAGACCTCCAGCATCCCAGGCTAGAGATCCTAGGGACCACATGTGAAAAGTATATGGTCCTGAGGGCAGCGTGAGAGCTGCAGGCTCCGCATCGGACAGCGCGGCGAGACAACCCCTTCACGCTCAGGAATGCAACACTGCAAAAAAAGGGTGTCCAAAAAAGCTTGCCGAAACCTCCCATAGGATCCAGCCGTGCCACTTCCTAAACACTTTCCAAACTTTTGAGTTTAGTCTCACCCGAATCTTTTGGAAAACACTTTCCCAAGGAAAACTAGCATAAAATATGGCAGAGAGAGAGGCCGACTCTACTTTGAGCTGCTCAAATGAAAAAGTATCTTCAAATTTACAAAGATACATTAGCATCACAGCAAGAAGCGGGAGCTCCTGCACATCTGCCCATGCAAATAAAACACTGAATTCCTGGGGCAGAGGAGACGTCCACACTGCAAAACCGCACTGCAAACTGCCACCGTTTGCACCGTGCTCACTGCAAACACTCCTTCGGAGATGTGGGATTGACTGTTAATTATAAATTCCTCAGGAAAAGAGGTGATATTAATTAAAGGGCTTAAGCTAGGCAGGTTTGGGGGCAATGTTAATCCCAGTAGATATATGGCCTATATATGCGTATGTTACTTTCACATTGAAACCCATCACAAACACGTCAGGTTTTTGGCCGGGTTTCCAAAGCCTTTCGTGAGTCCAACAGCTGGAGCAGCTGTTTGAGGTGCAGGAACCCCCCTCCCCGCCTGTGACCTTCCTCTTCCTCACAGCTCTGTGCCTGGTACATGCAAAGGGGCTGGCCCCACCACGGGCTCCTCCAGGGGCAGCTTCTTACCAGCTGCTCGGTGAAACGCAGCCCTGGACACTTGGGGATGGCTGTTCAGGGTCTGTTGAAGGCCGGGCAGGGACCCAGGCAGTCGGCCTGGTTTGATAACGCACGTGGCAGCTGCAAAGTGACCCAGAGCAGCCCTGCAAGAATTGGCCTCGCGATGGACACAGCAGCCACTGCTGAGGACAATGCATGCAGGATAACGTGTGGATATATATGCGTACACACGCATGCGGCACGCACAGCGGTTTCAGTACGTGCCCTTTTCCATGGAGCATTCACAGAATCACACAACGTTCAAGGTTGGAAGGGACCTCTAGAGATCATCTAGTCCAACCTTCCCGCTCCAGCAGGCACACCCAGAGCACAGGGTGGCATCCAGGCGGGTTTGGAGACCTCCAGAGAAGGAGACTCCCCAGCCTCCCCGGGCAGCCTGGGCCAGGGCTCTGGCACCCTCACTGTAAAGAAGTTCCTCCTCACCTGGAGACGGAACTTCCCGCTCTTCTACACGCTACGGCTGCCCTGGAACTGCTGGAGCACGTGGGAATGTCTGGCAAACACAGGACACGACATTCGGTGAGATGGGCAAGTTCCACCCTCAATCCATCAATGGTGGATTCTGTCAGGGTACGGGCTAACATGCCTACAAGCACTAAAATCCTTCAGGAATACTTAAACTCTATTAACCCCAGAGAAGGAGCTGTCCCCACTCTGCAATGACTATCTAATTAAATTTTAAAAGTGTGTTTCGCTTCCCATGAACTAGCACAAGTAGCAAGGTGCTTGTCCTCTGCAAGGTATAGGGAGGTGGAACAGAAGCACTAATCAGGGATTACCAAGGTCTCTCCAGGGATCTCTCCATAGGGAACATGAGACAGCAGGGAAACCCACTGCTGGCCACCCGACTGAGCTCATCTATCAGCACCCGCAGCAGGAAGCACAGAATCCACATAGTGAACTGGCAGTAGGACCTTGCAGAAACCCAGAAAAGGTCTATTTTTCCTTAGCTATCAGTAAATAAATCCACTCTCTTTCTATAATTCAGAAAGTGCTTCTTCGCCTCCCTCCAAACCATGGATGAGAACGAATGAGTAACAGGAGAGAGAAATGGAGCTGGCTAGAGAGCCTGCAAGCCCTAGGAAGCCAAAACACTTCTGTGAACCCAACTGACTCCAATGACATAGGGGAGATGATGTGTCCCCAGGGCACTGCTCTGCTGAGCCCCGGGGACGGCACAACCAGGAAACACCAGCCTAGACCTGAGGAACACCAGGAGACGCCAGCCTAGACCTGAGGAACGCCAGGAGACGCCAGCCTAGACCTGAGGAACGCCAGGA